AGGATACTGAAGTCTTCCATCCATTTTATGGCTTTTTTAGACTTGTGACATCCTGCACCATCCTGTTGAAATACAAAATCTGTTCCTGATGTCAAATATAATTCCATAGACGGTAAAAGTGATTCCTATAAAATGTCAACATATTTATTTGTTTTTAGAATTCCTTCAATAAAATGCAGTTTCCCTTTCCCATTCGATGACATGCTGTCCCAGACCATGATCGATGCGGGAAATTTTACTTTTCTTTTGAGACACTCTGGATGGAACGCCTCATGTTTTTTAGCGCATAACTCGACTTCTGCTATCTCCAACACAAACTGCCAATCGGGCAACGTCACTCCATTCTATTGCATCCCATTGATGAGAAATCCAACGCATATGTTCTTTTTTTTCTGTTTCGCAATAAGTAGTGGTTTTTCTTTAACCTGTAACAATATTGTCAATTTTAAGCAAACATATTTGATTGTTTTAGTGTGTTTAATTTTTTTTTTTATTGCTTTTATTGTTATAAACTTGCTTTGTAAGTCCCAAATCCCAGTTCGCGAGCTTCCCTGTGACATGAAGATCTCAAAATTCGTCTTCCAACATCATCACTCCACTGAGCACTTAATTCAAGGTAATTAGCACGACGCGACGGTTAGTTTCAATAATTCTTCTCAATGCTTGTCTATCGGCATTTGTAATCTTGCTTTTTTTAATATGACGGGGCTTTGGGCTGATTGAACCAGTAGTTTTGTATCTTCTAATTATATTTCTTACACTATATCGTGATAAATTTAATATATTTGCAATTTCTGAGTTCGAATTTCCATAATTGCAATGTTTTATAACAAGAAAACGTATTTTTTCGTCAATGATTTTTCCTCTATCCATTTGAACAAACAGAATTAGTTTAAAAAAGGTTAAATTGTTTTGTGATAGTTATCTGTATTTTTGTTATTGTTATTTTTTCAAAGCTGCCTTCGATTCTGGCTTATTTTCTTACATATTGCATTTATTTGTTAATAAATATAAAAATAAATGAACAAGTTGATGTTTCCTAGTTCTAGGTCTAATATAAATTGTAAATTGATGCATTATTAATTAAATTATTTTCTTATTGTCGTTATAGAATAAAAATATCAATATGTGGGTCAACTGAAATGGGAAGGGGCTCGTATGAATAACAGTCTAATGAAGGCATTGCTAATTTGGAATATAGTTGGAATAAGTGTATTGAGCAAGCAGAAAATATTTTTTGTCAAATATAACTTAAGTTTACTTTGTTACGCCAGGTAGTTTTCAAACAATCCCCGTATGGTCGAAAACCTGAAAGCCATAATGATTCGATTCAAAGTTACGGTTAATTTCTCGGCAAAGTCGAGACAAGATGAACTTTCTGAGCGTAAGCAATACACATGCACGTATAGGTATATCCATCGACACAATAGTTTGCAAGAAGTTTAGCAGTAGATGTTATCAGGAACCAATCAATCCTAATAAAGCAGCAGGAGCACGGTATAGTCGGCGGCAGTGGGATATTACAAGTTGGGCATCCATTAGAAGGGCTTCCGGCGAGCTCCTGCGTCTTACCTCACTTCCGGAACTTGGCCTCCGGAGCCCGGAATAATTCAGGACCAACTTGCCACTTTAAGCCTTAATGAATAGGTAATTAGTTAATATTGTGCGGGCTTCCTGTTGTCCACGCGCTCTACGTATATACATATACATGTTCAGAGCGGCGGGGCGACTATCTTGGGACCCATTAGCCCGTGGCCGTTCCCTTCGAAACTTAGCCATTGTTTGCCAAGGAAAGGATTTCAATTGAATTAACTCTAATCAGAGCAGATTATTATGGATCGATGTAGGACCATGTCTTCGACTTACTGTACCCGAACGAAGACAAAAGCCCAAGCCATGCCAAGCTGGTTATTTATATCTATGATGCTCACCTATTATATACATTATTAATGGCGAATATAATAAAACTGTTAGTAAAACGACAAAGATTAGAATGCAGATTTGCTTTCATTAAAAATATGTTATATAAAAAGCAGCTAGATCATGTAAAAATACATTTAACTATACAAGACGATCCATATCGATCATATACCTAGTTCCGTTTCAAATTCATATCAAAATATTGAGATGCTTTTACCACAAAAATAATATATATAGTAGTATCCCTTTAACTTTTAATTTAATGTTAGAAGGTCCATTTCTCACGGTTTGTGAGTTAACTAAAATAAAAAGATACTTTTATCATTCTATTGCCAAAGTTATTGTAAAGAGAAGTTTAACATCTCATCTGATATTTCTTTATTCTTTTCAAAGATCGGTTCTAGTTTTCTCTATCATATATTCATATCATACTCATTTATCATATTATATCAAACTGCGCATGGCCGGTATTGAATAGCAGTTGAGTTTTGCGCTCCCGAAATAAATACAGTTTAAAACAAGATTTACATCTAATAAAATAATAAAAACGTGATACAGTTCTGATACTGTTTGTTGTTTTACAATACGTTAATGTTAAAAAAATAGCTCAATCATCAAGGCTAACAAAAATGATTTGCTTATCAAATTGCAAAAAAAGAAACAGAAGCTATAATACATACGATTGAAAATAAGCTGCTAAATATTGAAACTTCAGTGGCGGAATAAAAAGAGGATTATGTTAAAATGAATACAAAACTTGAAGATAAAACGACATATCTACAAAATAAAATAAATATACTTAGTGGTGAGTGGGACGAAATTAAGTTAAAAATTGATCTAGTTACTAGATCTTCTAACCTAAGGGTTTCCAGTATGAAAGAGACCCCAACTAAGAGAAGTCCTAATAAAAACTTTAAATAAAAATGTTTCTAACTCTCATCGAAAGTGATATTCTATTGTGGTATAGAATTGGAAAAACTGAAGAAAAGAATAGTTGAGTTTTTTTTTAAATTAAAAGATCTCGAAACTAAAAAAAAAATATATATAGCAAGAAAAAAGTACTAAATGATTATTTCTATTGAACAAAAACCAGTTTATATTGTTTCATCTTGTTTAAATCTAATATAAATTAATTCTAAATGGATTCTTTGATTCTTTGTATTTTTCTATCTGAATTTTATTTATCATTAATATTTCTTTTATCTTTAGTTTAAATAACAAAAATATAAAAGTAGGGTGTTCAAAAGTTACGTGATATGATAGATATTTTGAACGTTTTAGACGACGAAGAGAATGAGACGGAGAGCGTTAATAATTTCGAAGAGCCTAAGCACTAATTTTATGTTCTCCCGGACATTCTTTTAAAGAAAAATATAATGATACTTTAGAATTCCCTAGTGGAATGTATATTAAGATATTGCATAGTTGCATGAGGTGTAGCATTTAACACTACTATTAAAATTGTTTAGACAATACAAAATACTATTTTAAAAATTATCCTAAAAAAGAGAGGCAATTTTCTACAAAAACATTGTACGATGAATCGAACATACTAAGAGTCAAATTACTTCTTTCTACACCCACAAGGATATTAGCTTATCTACGTACAGATTACAAAACGAAAAAGTATACTATTGCGTTTAACTGAATGAATATATTTCATATCCATTTCAAAATGAAATCCACCAATCACAGTTCATATTTCTATTTTTGGACAATAATACAACGGAGAACCCTATATATTTTGACATTTTTAGAAATATTGGGTCATCAATGTCATCATTTATTCTCGGTTAAGGCTGTGATTACCTCAATAACGTCATGCAAAAATATTAAATATTACTAAAGGTAATAATTATTTTTTACTAGAAATTTTTGAAATAATAATATAAATCGGCCATTGTCTCATTAAATTATAGTAAATAGTTTTTGACTACCAGAGGCGACAACGAATTTGTGGAAGTCAGGAATTCATGTTTTATATTGAAAATATTATCTTGCTAAATCACGATTATTCATACGTTGTTTAAATTTTTTTGTTAATTTGTTTAAAATATTTAAAGTATTCAACTTTTTTATCAATTTTCTCGTCGAAGTAAATTGCTGCTTTCAAATGTCAAGTGTCACCTATTGACATTGATATAAACGACATGCGTGAATATGTGGAATTGGAATGTCAAGCAAAACAAGAGTTATATTGCCGATGTGGGTCAGGTTACTCCAGGTGTGATTCGAGTAAGAACGACACAGAGATGAACTTTATAGAGGTTTTAATAAATGAATGTAATATGAGCAAATTAAATTGAAAATGGTTTAATGGTTTTATTACAAAGTTGAAGAATTATCGAATATGATTTTTATTTCACATTGATATAAGTGGGGATATTGAAATATATTTTTATTACTTTTCTCAACCACCGACGAGATTTGATTAGATCCCGTTGTGCCATCGTTGGCTCTAGGAAAGAACAAATAGGTATTCTTTTTTAGACTAATTTTGAAATTTGGTCAATTAAAAACTTAATTAAAATTATAAGATTTAGTATGTTAAATTTAATTTAATATCAAGATCAAATAAAAACTACATACGTTGTTACGATGTGCCATCTTCGGCTCAAGAGAATGAATTTGAGAAAACCAAACCTGGGGCGCAGAAATCCAGGCCCTATAGGTTAATCTGATATTTAGTCTTAAAAGTTCAGTATCTATGTGAATCTGATGCCGTTAACCTCTGTTGGTTCCTTTTAGTAATTGATTAATAGAGAACCAACATTTAAGATCGAGTTCCTTGCGTCAAAATATAAAAAAACCTTCTTAAAAACCTCCTTAAAAATAGTTCATTTTATTATTATTATTTAAATAACGATTTGATAGCTTTCAATGACATTTCCGCAATTTGTGACATTTTAATATGGTTTGTTTTGGACCTATTACAGTTGACTGAATAATTCTAGGAGCGTGCGAATACATTAAATTTTTTTTAGAAATACCTCAGAAGTTACAGTTATGGCCCCTTGTTATGTAATAGTTTTGTTATTTATTTATTTATTATGTTAATTAATCAATTTTTTTTGTTGCAGATTCTCTGGCGCAAGAATTGGAAATGGAGAGAAAATCTCGCCAACAACAAGTAGAAAGAGAAGTCAAATCACCGCTTCAAGATAGATCAGGATATTACAAAAATTCGGTCATGTTTACAAGTAGCGCCACCTAAATCCTAGCAGCAAAACGGTACTTTAAATTATGTAAATACACTTTTTAAAAATTGATTATAGAATATAATCCTAACGAAACGGTTATAGAATGCAAGAAGTCTGAAAAAATATCTGTTAAGGGGTTTTTTCAAAGAGAAATCACTTGTTTTTTCTGATTAATCTTTATGTGTCACACATTTATAAATTTTTCCTCCGATTTAGTTAACCTAACATTTTGTATTCCCTGTGTTTCCCTCTCTCTCCGTTCTATTTATAATGAGTGAAATTTTTCCTCCATCAAATTGTGCCTCTTCTCTTTTTAAGCATGCCATTCTTTCCCTTCTTTGTTTTCCCTCACGATATTATTTGCTACATTTTTTGTAATTATTTCTAATAGATGTTTGTAACGTTTTTTACGTATTTGGCTTCATAGTTTTGTAAAGAGGTTATAATTTTGGTCTTTTTTAATTACGACGTTTTCTCGATATTTTCTCGACGTTTTCTCGACGTTTTCTCAACGTTTTTTCAGTTTTTAGCCGTGTTTTAACGTTTTTAGTTGTTTTTTTATCGTTTTTCGATGATTTTACGTTTTTGAACATTATCTTTTCATATTTTTATATTTTTTTCGCGTTTTTATTATAAATTTCCATTATTAATTTTTTGTAAATCTTTTACAAAGGTCTAATAAATAATCCATGTAGATTTTCTTATGCTACCTCTTTCTATTTGTAAGCTGAAGAGGGCTGAGCGATTGGGTTGCTCCACAGTACTTAGACATATAGAACCTACCTGTCAAAACCCCGGTCATTATTGCTGAGAGGTGTCTAGGGACAGTCATCTTCCCAGCTCATCAAAGTACTGCAAGATATCAACTCGTCACTGAGGGTGAGAGGTGTCTAGAGATAGAGGGCTCAAGACCTGCAGGTTTTCTACTCATTAAAAACCTGCTGGTTATTGCTGCGAAGTGTTTATATAGGAGCCAGTCTCTCAGAACAAAGATTTGCAGGTTAACAACGTCACCGAGAGGTGTTTCTAGGTGCTCTATTTTTGGAATTGGCCATTTAGTGGGCTTCTACCACCCCGATGATAAATTTCCAGCTGATGCCATTCTGTCTGCCTGTTCCACAGGGTAACTTCCTTAATACGAATATACTTTTTCACAGACCTCTTACTACCTTTTCTTTCTTAAGAACAGTGTGATTTATATTATTATGCTCAAGCAGCTCTAAAATGTTAATCAAAAAGGCATACATTTCTTAGTTTAATATTATAATTTGTCAAATTAAACATAAGAGAAATCAAAAATGTACATCTACCAACTTAATTTTACTTCATTTAAAAAATACGCCAAAATTTAGGAGATATTTGGCTCTAAGACTTATTCGAGATATATATTTTCTAAGTTATCGTGTTATAGTGTTTATTCAATTTATTTATTGGGACAAAATAAAAATTCATCAACAGTCAAAACTGACTTTAAATATAAAACTTTCCTGTATATATCGAATAATCAGGAAAATTAAAAAATACGTCCATTTTATTGTACATTCGGCTTATTTTTAATTTTGTAAATAATTTTGAAGAAAGTTCATTTTATTAAGACTGATTTGGGGCATGAAATTTACTGTAGTTTTAGCGTTTTAGCTTTAAATATACAGCTTTAGATTTATTTTCAAAATAGCACAAAAGTTTTTGTGGAAGTGTAATTTTCAAAATAGTAGCAGTAATAAAATATTTTGAAAATTTGCTTTTGCCGAATACTCTGTACTTGGATTCTGTCATATATTTACTAAAGGAACTAGAAATATCTGAATACGTTAAATTTAAAAAAAATTTAGTTATGAACAACTCTCGGGGTGGTTCATTAGAATTTTGTCGCATTGTAAGTCGAATTTTAAAAATTTAATTCATGTTGGAATATTTTAATTTCACTTAGGTATCTAAAACTGTCACTAAATGTCAGTTTTCGTGTTTGTTTTCAGGTAAATTTCAAGAAAAACCATTTATCTTAATATGATTTTAATACGAATAATGTGATTAAAGGATATTTTCAATCAATAAAAAATTGTTCCTGTAGTAAAATATTGCAAATCCTCCTTGTGCTTATAGCAAATCATTTGTTATGAAATAATGTAATATAAATTGTATAAGATAAATTTGTAATCGATATTACGAAAAAAAAGAACAGAATTTTTACATATTTACTCATAAAAACCTAGAGAAATCTTTTTTTCGAATGTATACGTTTGTCGACAATCACTGTCACTTTGTTTTTCGACATACTTACATAAGTTTATTTAGTGCAATGTGCGGTGTGCTGAAGAATATAATTTTCCTTTATCTCAAATTTTAACGAAATAACAAATTTTATTTTTTTTTTATTAATTTTATCATTTCTTATGAAAATTTTGAGAAGAAGAATTTTGTCTTAGACACTTAAATATATATTTTAGTTTGATATTTTTAATAAATTGAAATCTACTTTAAAATAAATTTTCTTTAATATAAACCACAATTCTCTTTCATTGAAGAAAATTTTAAAGCATCCATCTAAAATCCACATAATAATATATTAAAATACATTTAAAATTTAAAAATATACGCTGTCTTGGGCCTATATAAACTAGCTTTCATACTTGATTATCAAATGTATAAATATATCAAATTGCTTTTATGGAACCTTTTTTTTAATTATTACAATAATAAGGGAATTTTATTTTTCAGCATACTTAAAATATAATAATAGTACTTATCCATGTACAGTTCTTGAATTAGATTAAAAAATAAAAATAAATAGTTCTAAGCACATATTTTCTAACGGCTTGTATACAATTTACGGCAAATTGGCTAATTATTCATAATATTGGAATGCCTACTTTTTGAAATTTCATGTTAGGGGACACATATTATTATAAGCTGTATGTGTGTATTTATTGTAAATATTTATGTATGTGTGTGCCTTGTAGTAATTAAAACCGAAAAAATCAACAAGTTTGTTTCATTTCTATTTTTTTTCTAAAGGTATTTAAGTTAGAGATTTTCTTAATGTTTCAGTATAATCACATAATCAAAACCATACTTTGCTGAACTTTGGGCATACGTTTATACAGAAACACTAGGTATATTGCTCCACAATTTTGTTTCACCTTGTAGTAAGCCTATATAATTTACTGTTAGGAATAAGTTGTTAATTTGGAAACACCCAATAAAACATTTTTTTGTTATAATATTTTTTGGAAAATCCTGATTTTGATGGGAAAGTCGAAATTTTCAACCCATAAAAGTAGACACATATTTTTTCTTTAAGAACATCGTAGTTTGTGCAACAAGAGTGGATATGATGGCTCAATAGTATGAGTGCGATATGGACAATGCACTCGAGTATATTTTTTCTGCGACGCCCTAACGAAAATCTAAAAATTTTAAAAATTAATTTAGAGGTTAGTTATTAAGACAAAATACCTACCTATTTTATAAATTATTTATAAAATAAAATAAACACGAAAAAACAAAATTAATTCAAGATTAAAATTTTAAATAGTAATAATAATAGTGCCCGGTCATCAAATATGAACTGTGATTGGTGGGTTTCATATCCGCACAGTGTTCTTGTTATATTCATTCAGTTGAACAATGGCCTATTTTTTCGTTCTGTAGTCTGTAAGTAGAATATATACACCGTGTCCCACGTAAGGCGGGCATTACAACTTTATGGAAAATAAATTAATTTGTATTTTCGCCATTTTCTGAGTATACATAATCGAATAAGCTCTTTTGAATTAAAATAAAAAGAAAATTTTAAAGGGAATACCCCATATTTTTTTTTTTATTTTAGATTCAGCATGAAATTCTGTAAACAACGATACCCCATTTGCCTATTCTAGTTATAGCGGATTTGGCGTTATTCAATTTTTTTCTACATTTTTAGTCGCCGGTAGACATTTTCTTAAAGTCGTCCATCTCAGGTACTATATCTATCAGATACTTAAAATTTTAACCAGAGGTAGTAGATGGGATGTACTTCTTGAGAATATTTAGTTATTCATTATTTGTTGTACGGGGTGTTTGCAAATTATTTTTAAAAATGAAATTTTTTAAACATAAAAAACTTTTTTATTTTAAAGAGAACACCCTATATATTTTTTAAATTTAGGATTCAGCATGAAATTCTGTAAACAATGATACCATATTTGCCTATTCTAATTATAGTGTATTTGGCGTTATTCAGTTTTTTATAAACTTTTATATGCCGGCAGACATTTGCTTTTTTAAATTTACTTGTACATCGTTTGTTCGACTGTGTGTTTGGAAATTATTTTAAAAAATAAATATTTTAAACATGAAAAATTTTTTAAACTTTTCTATCAAGAATTTCAATATACCTGCAAAAAATAAATAAATAAATTACATACAATTATAGTGAATTTGTAAAATTCAAGGAAAATGATGTAATCAGTAACCACAAAAAGTAAATTTTTTTGGTTGTAAATCGCATTTAATGTATGAAATTTCTAGTCTCCCATATTAAAAAACAATGAGAATTTTTAAAGTTAGGACTCAAAACATTCTTTCTCCTAGTAGAATTGTTTTTCCTATACAGAGTGTAGACAATTTAAATGTACACTATTGGGACATCGCAGACCACTAGAAATAATCGTACAAAGTCGTTTAAATGGAAAAAAGTTGCTTAAGAAAGAGACCAACGTATTAATGTTTTGAAATTTAAGATATCAGATCCGAGTATGTAACAAGCAATCATCTATGATCGCGGGACGGAACCCTCCTGGACTGTTGGGGGCTTGGGTCAGCGGCAATTAAAAGCCTTTTGACTTTTATCTCGCTCTTACCCAATACAGTTACTTACCCTTCATATGACCATCATCAATAAACATAATGCTGGGCCACTATCGAAAGGACAAAAGTAGGCTTTTATCTTTTAATCGTTGCATTCATTACAGCGTCCATTACATCAGAAGGCCAGCAATATCCCGGCAATTCATTGTTTGTTGGGATACAACATAAACCCATCACTAACAAGTATACCAATACAACATTTGTAAATAATTGAGGTTTGAATACTTATTGCATACAACCTATTAGCAGGAAAATATACTTCTATCGCCTAATAAAACAAATATTTAACAAATAGTTTGGTAGGTTGGTACTTTTGAACTTTAATGTATAATTGGATGAAAATGCAAAACAAAAAATTTATTTATGAATATCTCAGATTCTTTATGAATTAATTAATGAAGAATCAGATGTAAAGCACTCATTAGACATTACTTAAAATACACACCTTTCTATCTTTTTTTGGCTTATTTCTGAAATATCTTTTGCTGAATTTTATTAGGTAAAATATTCGAAGACGAATAAATAACTTTAAAAGGTAGTCATAAGAAAAATGTTTAAATCCTTAAACTGTATTAAACAAATTATAAGAATTTTTTTTCAGGTGTGGGTCAAAGTAAGTAATTTTCTATATTTTTCAAAAATTAAATGTTCCAACTGATAAATGTACTAATAAAAACATTCTGTTGGTGTTTTTTGACTTCTAAATTAATTTAATATCATAAGCTTTCAAATGAATAAACATATTGCTGCTACCTAAAACGGAAAAATTCGTCATACATTTACAGCTATGAATTCGAAGATATTTTATACGTGCCTTAGATGCCACAGGGCCGGCTCTAGGCATGTGCAAAGTGTGCAGTTGCACAGGGCGCCAAATTCTAGGGGCGCTAAAATATTACATTTTAAAATAAAACAAACTTATTAAAATTAGTACAGTGCCTATCCGAAATAGCTAATTTAAAAGGCAGTATTTTAGTATGTTTTAGTGTATAGTTTTTCTGCGATTAAAAAGGTAAGCAAGAACTTCTTGAATACGTTAATACCTTTATAAATACAAGAAAACCGACTTGTTTATTAGATTGTTTCCAGATTTTAAAGCAAAACTAAACAGGTATTTGAGTATTTTTTATAGTTACCTTAAAATGTAATGTAGGTTAGGATGGTAGGTACCTACTAGCTAAAAGAAATATAACTTTTCTATCCCTACCTACACATCGAAAAAAGTATGTATCTACCAATAAAGAGGAAGGTACAGCTGCAGAAATAAAAAAAATGCTCTGAACAAATATAATACTATGTAAATACCTCCTTAATGTTTGAATGTTTATTTTCACCATTTTTGGTACCAAAAAAAATTTAGTTAAACAGAAAGACATGCAAACAATGTTTTATATACGCTTTTATTAGCTTTACTTGTAAGTTTGTATGCCTGTATGTAAGAATGTAACAAATCTAAAAGGCGATTTTGACCGACTTCTACTTATCGAATTGAATTTGGTATCCATTTATAGTTCCGGTGACCAAACGTAGTGGTGGGGGTACCACTCAAGCTCGTAAGATTTTTTGAGAATGAGGATTACGAATTTTCAATCAGATTTAAAAAAATTCAATATGGCGGATTTAAAATGACCGATACCATTCATATCCGATTAACTTCAGATATGGTCTGCGGTTATAGTTCGTTGTTGTTTGTTGATAAATTGGTATAACGTTTTTGGGTTTGACAGTTGCTAATTTTAAATCAGCTTTTAATAAAATGCGCACTTATATCTTAAATTTGGATAAAATAGTCTTGTTATGTTTATTCCAAAACTAAAAACGTAAGAAATAAATTACAGTTTGAAAAACTAAAAGAAAAAACACGCTTTTAAGGATAGGTACTAAAAAGTATAAAATAATGTAATTTGTTAAAATATGTTGTTACATATAAAAGTGTGGAGCACCTTGCACATCAAAGAAACGTTACCTACTCTAAAGCGCCCCATGCTTTTATATGTAACAATATGTTTTAGGCAAATTTAAATTACATTATTTTATAATTTTTGTTACCTATATTTAAAAGCGTGTTATTATTTTAGTTTTTGAGCTCCTATTTTTATATTTATTACAGAACAAAATGGCTGATGGCAAAAAGAAACCTGTTGGTTCGGAGTATGAAAAAGACGAAAAGCAGGCAGAATTAAGAAAGCTGGCTGGAGCTTTAGAAAGTTTTTTGAAAGACTTCCCTGGATCAAATAAGAAGCAAGAAGAATCAATTTCGGTACCGACCAATGAAAAGGAACTCAATGCATCAGAATCTGATATCCCACCTCGTTTGCAAGAAGAAAAACATAATTCAGAATCTGATTTGAGAGTATAACATTAAAACCACTCAGCGATACAAGGTGGGAAAGCAGAATTAATGCCATAAAACCATTGAGATACCAAATAGGTAAAATTTATGATGTTCTTTTTTCTATATTTAATGATCCAAAAATTGATGCTGTAATCAGAGATGAAGCGTCTGGTTTACTTACGCAAATTAAACAGTTCAAATTTTTATGTTCTGTTGTTATTTGGTTTACTCTTTTAAACCACATCAACCCTGTAAGTAAACTTATGCAGACAGAAGATTATGATATTGCTTCTGCCACTGAGGCTTTAAAGAAATTGCAGAATTTTTTTCACAATTTAAGAGAAAATCAATTTGATCAACTGCTCGTGGATGCGGGGGAACTGGCGACAGAAATGGATGTAGAAAAATCTTTTGAAGCAACAGCTAGGCATAGAATCCGTCGTCGAAAAAGAAACTTTAATTATGAAAACGAAGATGAACTTAGCATAGATCAAAAAGAAAAGTATAAAATAGAATTTTATTATCTTGTTCTAGATACAGCCCTAAATGCTTTAGAGCAAAGATTTTACGCTCTATAAGATCACTCGAAAAAATTTTAATTTTTTTATGACATTCACTTAAACTTAAAGCAAGTACCCAAAAGCCAGATAATAGCATACTGCAAAAAAATTTGAGAACGTCTTAACTGACCAAGATAATAGTGATATAAAATGGCTTAGAGCTAGCTGACGAACTAGTCATTGTGTCTTCTCTTTTGAACGAAAAAAAAAAAAATCCTAAAGAAGTACTCCAATTTATAACAAAATTGAATGTTGCTCCCAATTTAAGTATAGCCATCTGGATCCTTTTAACGCTTCCAGTAACTGTCGCTACAGCAGAAAGAAGTTTCTCAAAATTAAAACAGATTAGGACTTCTACGTACCACAATAACACAAAATTGACCTTGTGGTCTTGCCATTATTATTGCAATAGAACAAAAGATATGTGCGAAAACCGATATTACAGAAATCATAAGACAATTTGCTAAAATTAAAATTAGAAAAAACAATTTTTGTTAGGTAATATTTTTTTTCGCTGACCCCATTTAAGTATTCGTTTGTAAATTGCTTGAAAATAAGTTTATGTTAAAAAAAGTAAAGTTTTTAGGTACATTTTTTCTGTGATTTCTTTCAGTATACCTTTTTTTGAGATCTATATAAAAAAATTGTAGTAATTAGGCTAGATAGTGGGGAGGCGCCAACTTAGGATTTTGCACACTGGAAAAAATGCTAGAGTCGGCTCTGGGTGCCACCACGACGTATATTCTTCGTTTTACTCATGACTTATTTACAGAAGAAGACTAGACACAAATACACACTATTTTTGTCCAAAAATGCCCACAACGCAAAGCTCTACGACCGGTCCTGATTGTCCTGAACGTCACAGCAATATTACCTCAATTACAGAATCCTAAGCAAGGATTGTCACATACAAAATTAAAATTTCACGCGTTTTTTAAAGTGTCATTGAATGTCATTAATAAATGTAAACTATAAACTTTTAAATGGTTTTGTATTATTTTATGTTTAGCGGATTTAAATTATGCGTTATTTGTATGTAACGTCCGTGGTAACTAAAAAATATATGTACATTCTCATTTGACTTAAAATTTTATGTCACATAATATCAGAAAACCTAGGAGCATCGGCAACTTCGCATAATGAACCAACTTTTGCCTTCGGAACTTTGCCAGTTGAAACGAATTGCTACGAGGAACCTTTAAATGGGTATGGCCATTTATCTCTCTCTTAATTTTGATGTTCTTTGTCTACTTTCTCATCTGTGTAATCTGTGACTTAACGGTGAATGAGGGACGAAATATAATTTTTCAACACGTTGGGGCACCCCCTCACAATACTAGAAATGTCTCTGAATTATTAAATCTTCATTTTGGAGACAAATGGATAGGGACATAAGGACCGGTAAGGTGACCACCACGTTCCCCAGATTTAACGCCCCTAGATTTTTTCTTTTGGGGATATATTAGACAATTTATACAAAAATACTTCCAATAATATTGACGAGCTAATACAAAATTTTATACAATCTGTTAATTCCATCTCCAATATCCATATTCATAACGCAATGCGGAATGTTTCCAAACGATGTCGTTCATGTGTTGCGAATCATGGACATCAATTTGAAAATTTAGTCTAGATAGTTTTATATTTTTTAATGATGTTGTAATTGGTAGAACAGGTCAATATTATAATTCTTTGTCCCTCATTTGTTAAAAGATCCATAATGTATGAGATTTTAATTTAATTGTTTGAAAATAGAATTATTAGGTTATACTCTTTCCGGGTAAAGATTAAAATATAATTCACTTGCAACTTCAGAATTGTTATTACTTTGAATAAAACACTCTTACAAATTAATTTTTTATTTATTTTCATAGACCAATTTGCTCTTTAAAACAATCAAATGTTAAGTATTTTAATAACATGCAATAACAGATACTTTATCCTATCAGAAATATTCTAAATGACACAAGCCTACTAGCAAACAACAGAGTACATATCGTTAGAATGGGAAAATTTTTGTTTTTTTTTTTTGTATGCCACGACTAACTACCCGTTCCATATTAAAAAAATACAACTTTATGCTATAACTCGAGTGTGAAGAATTTAAAAAAAAATTGACTACGCCACTTGATTCTTATCAAAAAAGTGAAGGTATAAATTATTTTCTTTCACTTTTATAAATAAACGAGATAATACAAAAGACAATAGCTAATTTTTAAAAATGCCATTTAGTTTTTCTCATTAACGCAGATCGAGGATGGGAGGTCAATTTTTCCATACCATTTCTAGTTAACAACATTCTCTATTAAAACATAGAAATTTGCCCACCCTGTACAATTTCAAATTATTTAGAGAATACTGATATTATATATGCGAAACTATCGCTTTAAAATATAGGTCATAACTTTGGGATTTTCTAAGTTGTTCTAATAATTTACCCATCTAGTTTTTTTATGACGTCGACCTGCTTTCTGTTATGTTAGAAATTCAAATAATTTAATAGTAACACAAATAAAAATGTTTAAAACACAATATTAAAGATCAATTCTTTACTGTTCCGAAGATATGCCGATTTTTTGGCTTAGAAAAAACTCTGTTATCAGTAGCTATTCACACTTTATATTTAATATTGAATGAACAAATTTTCTTAGCGAAGTAATTTATCATAAGAAAAGAGATTAAATTGAAACGCAGAAAGAAAACAACCCCGCAAGGAAAAACACAGTTACCTTTATCAGCGTTTCAGTGCTATTAAACAAAATATTCTAAACAGGACGAAGGACGATCATCAGACAGACAAAAGATTAATCAATCCTCGCTCGAATCGTATCAAAACATATTCCTGCTGCTCCTGCAGCCTTACCGAGACCAGGAGAGACTGTAAAACGCAAAACCGAAAAATAAATCACGAGAGTGGAATCCATTACGGGCGCTGAATTAACGTCATCTTGAAAAGAATTAAACGAATGGAATTAATTATAAGATTGATGGATTTCTGAAATCTTTATGAGCCCATCCGGGCGCTTCATGCTCTACGTCCGCAAAACGGATGGTAGTTTTTAAGATTTGCTCTTAATCACCCGAATTTATTCTCATTCCAGCTTTTTTTTATAATCGAATAATCAATAGGTCCCTCTCGAGCTTCCTTTCTTTTCTCTCTGGTAAAATTATTATTAAAAGGAACAATATGAAGTGTGGTAATATCGTGCGAAATGGACTGTTACTGTATAAATTTCAAACATAGACGTTTATTTTAATGTTATAATTACTAATGATTTGTGACATTAATATGTGAATTCTTGAAGTTCCGGGAAGGTATTTTTTATTTTTTCTTACTTCCAAAAAATGGATGACACTGCATTTGATATTTAATTATTTTTATTTAACTGTATTTACAAACAAATTATCGATGATTAAAACCATAATAATAGTACCTATATTATATGTCTAAGAAAGTAATTAACAGTAGATAGATCGAGTTAAAGTGTTGCGTCAGGGTGTTTATTAATTGAGTGCCGATACTTAAGGGTGTGAATCCTTGGGTGATTTTAAGAAGAAAAGTTAATATCAACATATGTCGTAAATCTCTTAATTTTTGAGCTACAGGGTGTTACAGTTTTAAGAAAAAAATATATTTTTTTTCATAATTTTCTTATCACTGCAGATATTTCTATGAAATTTTGTAAACACCTTTTAATCATTAAGGAGCATTTTTTGACGTATAAGATTTTTTTAAATTTTTACCAGTGACTTCCGTACGGGGTTTGAACTGAATATTTTTGAAGAAAAAAATGGTACGCTACTGCTTTTTCTAAAATCCAAAATTATTTTTGAAATATTCATTTATTTTTGAGCAAATTTGGGCTATAGACTTGCTTTCGTACGATGCACCGTTTTCGCGTAAAAAAATAAAAACCATTGTAGTAGTTGGTCAAATTTTTTCCTTAAATTCATTGATACCTACTGCTTTTGATATTTTGTTGAAATTTGGTAGGCACCCACCATGCGTGAAAACACTTATTTTGGAGCAAAAATTAATTTTCTACTTCCACCAGTGACGGCTACGTAGGCATCATATTGAATGTTTGGATAGAAAAAAAAACGTACACCTCTGATTTTTTTAAATTCTATGTATTTTAAAAATCGGGATTTATTTATAGTAAAATGAAAATTCAAAATATTGAACCTAAAACGAAATAACAAGAGAATACAAACAAAATAAAGAACCCAAATTATTTACAGTAATTGTTGGAAGTGTCCTCCACCCACACGTATGCAAGCATCTACTCTTCTTCGCATAGACTGACGCACATTTTCAAAGAATTCTGGGGTGTTTCTTATGGTTTGGCAGCAGACTGTTATACGATTTCGTAACTCTTCTTCGGTTTGAATCGGCACTGCGTACACTAAGCTT